TTCCGCTGCGACTTTCACTCGTAAGCGGTGCAACGCCTTAAAATAAAAATCTGGACATAAATTAGGAAAACCACGAATTATTTAACGCATAGCTATAGCAAGATAACCTGGAGCCATAAATTCCGTTTTCTATAATAAATGAAACCCATAAAGTTATTCTCTTTAAAAATGCGAAAAAAAAACCTTGAAGGTCAATATAAAATTTTTAGGAATGGGGCAGAAAAGGTAAAGTTGATCGAGTTGTCAGAAAACTTACATGGAATGAGATCCTCGAAACAACATCGTCTCCTGCAACTATACCCATCACATGCTGTTCCAGCTCATGTAAGCCGTTTTCGGTGATGACGCAGCCCGGCGGCGCGAATGCAAAGCACCTTACGTTCGGATAATATTGTCTAGACTCAAATGTTTGAGTACATAAAGAAATGGAAAACAGTTTTCAGCACATCCACCTACTTCAATAGCAGAGTCAAAAGTGATGCTACTCCTGCACCCAATGAATGACCACAGACAACCAGTTGATAACCCGTGTTTAAAACAGCGAGATCCTCAATAACTTGATGCTTCCTAAAGTTAAAATAAAACGATGCATTATCTTAGAATGTGCAGATATATGTATGACTTACCTAAGCGTATCAAAAACGTAACGGGCGCTCATCAACATACCACGGTGAACTCGAACTTCACCCTCTGCATCTAGGGTGGTATCCGTACGCAACAGTGGGTCAGCATCAACATCTATCGACAACACTTCGTCATCTGCAAATCTCACAAATCTCCAGATTTGTATAGATTAATTTCTAATCGAAACATAACTCATACCTAGGCATAGATCCGTGACGAGATCCATTAATGAGCATGATCCGCGTATGGTGATTACAATACTATGAGTTTCATGATCTGCTAGCACCACAAAAGGGACCTATGATAGGAACGCCATATTACACAAACAATAAAAATCTGCTCAAATAGTATTTTTCGAGAAAACTAGTAATTCTTAAGTTGATTGCAACATAAGATGCTCCGGGTCATAACTCGCGCATGAATATGCCAAGAGTGATTTTCTATCGGAGATTCGGATAATTTATATGAATGTGAAAGAA